GAATGACTTTTCTATAAACAGAAATACAAACGGGGGTGTAACGAATACGTAATCAGGGGCGTAGCAAGCCCAGTAGAAATGTGTAAGCCCAGGCGAGGGGTCTGAATTTCATGATTTCAAAGATGTTTTGAATCGTTTTCCGAGACAGTTTTTTTAAAATTATTTAACTACAAACTTCAACCCCTGATATTTCTTTTCAACCTTACTTTTGTAATTTTGTCCGACATACTCTATGCACGGATTTTTTTTATGTGTAAGCCCGGGCTTTTTCTTTCTATAGAAGCTACGCCCCTGGTAATTATAACATTGCACTGGCGGATCCAGAGGGAGGCACAAACTAGGATTTTTTCAGTTTAAAAAGTCCGCCCCCTCTAACACCTAATCCTGAATCCGCGCCTGGATTACCGTTAATGTTGGCTTGGCTGCGGCAAAAATCATGTGTGGAAGTAAAACATTGTAAAACTATGATTGTCTCCCTTCCTTTACTGACGTTTGTTATGGCCATGGACGATTTACCATAATTATGAATCAGGTAATGTTTAATATTTTTTCTCTGTCCGTCTCATCGAAATGTTCATTATAATCATACCAACTAAACGCCACGGGATTTTGATAGAACTAAGCATAGCTCAGACATTTTCTCTCACTTTGGGACGATTTCAAGTTTAATCTCGATGATCAGTTCTTTTGCGATTTGCTGCTTAGGCCTTTAACGATTTTTTATTTTACTGTTGAGGAAGAAAAAGACAATAACATCTAAATGCAAATTAACATTTGAATCCAGTTTGTGTTTAGAGCCTGGTATTGTTTTAATCAATTAATGGAATATACCGTGAAGCAAAATATTCAAAAGTTTTAAATTTTAATAAATAAATAAATAATTAGATAAAAACAAATTAAGGCTATAAAACTCTCTTGCAATTACGATTTTAGACTAGTTGATCGAATTATGTTTGCGATAATTCGGATTTACAAATACATCATTTTCTATAATATATTTTAAAGGCACTTTCGCTTAGCTTGAAGTAATACCTGTGTTGGCAACGGTGTGTTACGAGACCATGGCCCAGTCCTGCCCTGTTGCCCAATATCCTGTCAATTGGTTCCTCCAATAAGTGATCACGATGGAGAGGGCTTCGGCGACCACCAATGATGCCATCTATTATACTTGAAACCAAACCACTTCCGATTCCAAGTGGCGCAGGGAGGGTTCTTCTTGTGGACAACGCAATCGGTGGTGGATTTAGCAGAGAACTTCGGCGTATGGGCAATACTGTCGGTAAAAGACCATGGGGCTCGGACACCGGTATCACAATACCTTCAGACACATGTCCGAGCAATGCAAGAATTAAAACAACCCACATGACGACTGAAAGGTAGCAAAGACATCCCGTTTGAGTGTTTTATAAAGGCTTATATAGACGTCAATTGGCGGACATCAATCAGCACTACTCTCCATCAAGAACGCAGTAACCATGCAAGCTACGCTACATCGGAAAATTAAACAAAACAAAATCTAGACAAAAAGTCGACATTGACCAAATCATGTACAATGTGCACTTGTTCTTGTGTTAAATGTATATCTTATATTGTTTATAATTGACGTTCATCGCTATTAAACGTTTACCATTGAAAAAACTTTCTTGTTCTTCCCCTAAACAATCACCAATTAGTAAAACAATATAGACTGTATTAGACACTGCAGGAAACTGCTGAGAATGGTGATGTGCATGGTAGCGTCACATGTAATGGTAATGATTGATAAGCATGCCTAAACTTATTCACCGTGACGCACCAGGAGAAACATCGAATACCATGGAATATGTATGACATTTACTTAAATGTACAATGTGAATAGACATTACCATGAATTTTAAATGTAAGATTTGGTGAAGTAGGGATCTTTTAATACGTTGCGTTTGTCTCTTAGGAATAATGCGTGCGAAAATATTGCCATAATTTTCTTCACACTTCTGTGTCGTAGATGAGGAAATCATTCCTATATGATTGGACGTTGGGGGTTTGTTTACAAACAGTTCCGTGGTTATATGTAACAACATAGTTAAATGGATATTCACTCGTTGATCTAAAGAGGACATTAAGTAAGGCGGCAACTTCCTAGCAACGAATCGCTAATCCAATGAACAATTTCGCATTTTAAAAAAACATACTTATATTACAAATAGTGCAGTGTCCTAATTGCCTCTATGAAGACTCTCATTAGTAGTGATAATAACTGGTTCACGAACTGTGTCAAAATTGTTTGTTGGCGAAATGCAAATAACGGCTTTTGTGCAAACAAATGAAATCTTGTGTTTTACCAAGGACTTTAATATATTTTATGTCCATGGTCTTACCTTATGTTTCTGTCACAAGAATAAACAAAATAACCTATATCCTAAAAGTACCGACCCACTATAAATAGAACAATGAATTTGTTTCCGCGATTGAAAACTCTTAAACTATCAACGTCACAAAGGAGATGTATCGATTGCTAGAAATTATCTTGACTGATGGGAGAGAGAGATGAGTCTCCAGGCCTGATTGGTAACGATTGGATGACGCCGGTCACGCTCAGCACAGACCGTGACGACACCGTCAATCAGCACGGATCGAACACTATTTGTTATCGGTACAGCTTGTTGATAATGTGCAAAAACTGCATTCAGGGTTTGACGGTAATTATCCTGATGGTCAAGGACATTATTTCGCCGTTAATACTACGTCATTTCTGTATAATGTAGGCTACCAGTGCGAGAGATGTTCTGGAGCATTACGTGATTTAACCAATGATGTAAAGTAAACGCACATGTTCCCTCTTCATGTTGTCGTAGTGAAATCAGCAAGGCTATACATTTGACAATTTGACGTACAATTTGTTTGCAATATTCCTCTCATATACAACGATTTAGTCTAAATATTCAATGTTATGTTTGTTCATATCACTCCAAAGAGAGGCATCAAATACATCATTGTGAAACCTATCATGCTGATTTTTACCTATTGTATATATGTTTGTATTTATTTAATAACAATAATGATCAAGTTTACAGTTCAAATAGTCAGTAGAGACAGTGGTTGTAGTTACGTAATAATGAGAACATTTCATGGGAAAATAAATTAGAAAGTTTAGTTAATGGTGATCAAATACTGGTGAACGTAATGGATACCGTAATCACATTTCATACTACTGGGTGAAATTACAGAAACAGGAGATACCAGAGGGAGCTTGGCGTCCACCATCGTGTAAGATCTTTATTTAGTCTTTAAAAGTCTGATATCGTTTCCCCTATCCTCTTGATTTATATGAAATGTAAAAAGCGATAATATATTACTACCAAATCCAACTTGGCCGCATGTCTGCCAATTTTTTGTTTTTCTAATCAGTCTCAAAATCAAACCGCCTAAGTAGAAACCAAAGCTAACTTAAATATGATATTTAAGAAACATCCATCCAGTACTTCTCAAGAAATAGCACAGTCAAAATCCAAGATGGCCGCCTGTCGGATTAAGGACACACAAGTTATGTCACGGAAAACAATTTTTAAATTTAGAGTAACAGTAATCAGGACCAATGACCCTGGCACCTGAAAAGCAATTCAAAGCAAACCATTTTGTAAGGAAGCATTGTATGAGGTTTGATTCGCTGAAGCAAACTCGAGTTATTTAAGGGAAATTGGTTGTGCTATTTAACAGTGACCTTGACCTTTGACCTTCAAAATTGTAAAGCAATCCTAAGCGAACACTTTCAGTAAGGAAGTAATGTATGAAGTTTGGGTTAAATTGGCCACAGAAAAATCTGGTTTTCACATGGAAACTGATTTTTTTATTCATAGCAACAGGGATCTTGACCTTTAACCTTGGGAGATGAAATGCTTCATAACCCAAGCAAGCATTTTCTTCAAGGAGGCTTGGCATAAAGTATGAGTGCCATTGACCCGACAGAATATGAGATACTGTACAGAAATGAAAAAACAGAAAGAGTCAGACAGGCCAATTACTATAGGGCACCATATCTCATGTGGTGCTCTAAAAATCATTTATGAATGGACAGACGACCAGAGACATGAGGCAATTTAAAAATCCCACAAAAAATGAGAAGCAAACTGCATTTCCCAAACCCCCCACTCAGCTTTATAGTACTAGTAACACTGGCATGTGCTGCAAAATCTACTCTGTTGGCCAGAAGTTATTAAAGGATTCTGTATTTAATAGTACCTAGACAGTGCAAACAAAAGGGAATTGAAATTTTTGTGAAAAACAAAAGCTTACACATATAATATTTTACCTAACAGCATACAATATTCTTTGTTCTATTTTAATTTCTAGAAAGAGGTGCTGAACCTGTCTACTCTTTAGTCACACTATTTCTACCTTAGTGTTCATAGGATAATAGTATAGCTGAAGAAGTTGGTCGATTCTTCACCATCTTATGTTCCACACAGGTCATTTGTCTGATGAAGGTGACTGTATAGTCATCAAAACATCACACTTAAATCATCTTCTGGTTGTATCATAGAAACCGCTATTCTTTGAATCTTAAGTCAATTTCCATTTCATATGACATTTATGGAACAAATTATTCACTGTACCTCTTAAAAGCTGGTATATCATTATTTTGAGAAGGGAAGGTAATTTAAGGTCCTTTGTTACCCAAGAGATACAATGTATCACCAAATTATCACAGTATTAAGACTACATTCACGAATACTTTCATAACAACCTCCAGGTATTTTCTCCGAGAGTAAACATCAAATCACTCTATGTGATAGTGGTCCTACATTAGTGTGATGAAGTATTACCTAGCTGTAGATATACATAGACTAAGTACATTACATATATCTAGATACAGAAGTCCCAAAATTTGTTTACTTTAATTACACCACAAGGAATTTATTTACCATACTTCCAGTTCATGGGATATTATGTATATTCTTTTATAAATTAGTTGCAGATAAACAAAGAAATATTTCAAACAAATAAAAAGCAAAGTCGATATGTTAACAAAAAAATAGATTTATTTAGCACCAGTGCCTCCTGGATATATGTTAAAGACTAAACAACTGAACACTGGAATAAGTCAACATCTGAAGTTTTACCTCAGTAATGCTAGACTATAATTCTTAAGGTGAAAACTTTTTAAAAATTCAAAATTTTATCTTAGCCTTTCTTAATTAGCAATGATATTAGTGATGACAAAAAAATCATCCAAGTATATCTGAATGCTGGAGTTAATTACAGTGAAGGCAGTAAATGTTAACGTAACATAATGATAATTAAAAAAGAAAGTAAATGAAAAAAGGCACCAAATGATGAGAAAAGATACAAATAGAATTTAAAATTTGTCTTAATAATAAAGTTTTGAACACTAAATCAAAACAGAACAGACATGAACATATTTAAACAGACAAAAGAGTATCAAAGACCAAAGAGAAACAGTCTTTGGTAGTGTACATTTGAACAATCTAAAAGTGTACAATTTACAAACTATAGGAGTGTACATATGAAAAGTACAAGTTTGCACACATTTGGGAGTGCAATTAGAAATACAGCATCATAATTAAAAAAAAGTTTCAGAGTGCCTGTATAATGTACATAGATTCTTTAGGCTAAATAAATTTCTTTTCATTGTCAAACATGTCTTACTTATATGAGAAACACACCTTTTTGTTCAAATAATGTTAAATACAAAGTCAAAATATAGTTATATCATTTTAATATACAAAGGAAAAGGATTAAATTTCTCTCTATTTTGCCATATAAAACAATTTATTTTCAAAAGGAGTCTGTACTGCTATTACGCTGAACCTGTGCTACCATTACATTTCCTTTGTTGTACATATAAGTATGAATAGTGAATTTTCACCCAGTACTGGCAGAAATATAAATCTTTTGATATCTTCTATCTATGAAATTGGCCAAAATCAAAGAATAATCTGGAAACTTGTATCAAATTCCATCACTGCTAATTAAAGTTTGGCAATATGTGAAGAATCAGTATGAAATATGAAATATGGAAGGCATTGGAAATACCTGGTATGATGGTAAGTGTGGACACCAACAAAATGAGGGGAATTCACATTTAGAGATTTTACTCTAAAGACACGAATGTGCGGGGGTTACCTGGTTTAACTGTCAGTAAATGTGAGGAGAGTTTAACAGTATGTAATGAAGAAAAGAGAACATGTACATATATTAGTCCACATATATAACTTCAATGAACTCATTAAATCAACACTTAACATTGGGAAAGGGCACTTAAAGTTATATAAAATAATAAGTAAAATAATATGTCAATACACATATACATATCCATAATGACGTTATTGTAAATACAACAATACAACTGTGGTCCCAATCTTCAGCTGTGTCATAATGAAACAAAATCAAAATGAACTAGTTACAAAAGCTATAGAAATCAAGCAAAATATAAAAAGTCACTATATAATATGTTAAATGTCAGGCCTAAACAGTAGGCTTTGATCGTTATACAATCATATTGGTCAATTGTCATTTACCATGGCTTATACATGTTTCAAGGTCACTTTCAAATCATTCGCTGCTTAAGGTCAGTAATTATTTTCTGTATGCAAGGAAATATTTTCCAAGGTTTTATTTTCACCCTTGCATCAAAATGATTATTTTTGCCAAGTGTTGATTCATCCTGAATTGCCTAAAATTGTATATTTCAGCTTTGATAACAAATTTTAGAGAACATGTACTTTAAATTTTACTAAAATATTAAAAGGGAGTAAAAGACAGAAGTTGACCTGTGATGAAAGTTTCCTAGTTTACAGTAAATTCAAGTTCAGTTCATACTCTGTATTGTTCAAGGTCATTCAAGGTCAGTTCACACTTTCTGTATAGTTCAAGGTCATTTAGTCAGTCGTTGCTGTCTGCTAGTTTCAAGGTCAGAGATCATGTATGGCTAAAGGTCAACTGTTATTTTATAAAAGTCAGTACTCACCTACTAGATCAGAGATCAATGACAATATAATTGTGATCTTTGGATTAACGACATGAAACTGTTGTTACATGATAATTCATTTCATTCCATCCTTTAGTCTAACAGAATGTCACCTATATTACTACAAAGCTACTGAAAGTCCTCACAATTACATAAATCATGAGTTTTAAACAATTTAAACAACGATCGTATGTACATCAATAACAATTCCTTATAACATTGGTCAGTCTGATATAAAAAAGGAAAGAATTTAACAATGTATGTGCCAACTCCAAGTGGAATTACATGCATATATCTTATAGAAACAGAAGAAATTCAACAAGACATTTTATAACAATACAATTTGTTCCCAACAAAGATATGTGGAATATTGTACAATATAGAAAAGGAGTCAAAATGAAAAAAGTACACCTCATGTATCATGTTTCTTATCATTATGTTCTCAGGACAAATCACATGAATCACATTCTTTCAGAATCAGTAGTTAACCACCAGTCAATCACCTTAGCTTACATCTTAAATATTTCAGATTGAAATGTGAATCACATATTGAATATTTAACATTCGGTAGTGAATCTCGTATAAAATATCTCAAAGCTCAAATGTGAATCGTCAAATCTCAGATTTAAGAGTGAATCAACACACGTTTTATATCAAAGATTCAACAGTGAATCATCACATCTTCAATACTTCAGATTCAAAAGTGAATCACCACCTCTCAAATACTTCTGATTCAACAGTGAATCTCCATATATTGAATATTTCAGATTCAATAGTGATTCTTATACAAAATATCTAATGACTGAATAGTGAATCATTACTTTCTAGATTCAAGAGAGAAGCAACACATCTTTTATATTTAAGATTCAAGAGTAAAATGACACCTTCAATACATCTGATTCAACAGTGAATCACCACATCTCAGATTTGCTGTGCATTATTCTTAATGACATGGTTGTAGCACCTTTACTAAAGCAGTAATAGATTTTCAGTTTGAACCAATATTGAGCAAAGTAGATAATGAACAAGCAGTGGATTTCTTAATGAATAAACAGGAAAAAAATGATTTGTCCAGTAAAACATCGACACCGCTCCAGGACTGCAGGTTTTGTATAGTACATTCCATAGAATTGAACTATAATCTGCTTAGATGTAATAGATAGGACACACAAACATCTAGATCGAAGTGATTTATTTTAGAATTCTGGGGTCAAGTAGATGCTTCACTGGAACAGCCCTCATTTGAAAGTATACATTGAGACAATAAGACAATTTTAAAAGACAGTCTAAACTGTGATAGATTTATAGAATGAGAAAGAGATCAATGAGTGTGTGATATGCACCATAATGTTTCAAAGGAAAAATATCAGAATGCAAAATATGGACAAAGGAATATATTTGGCAACCATTTGTTTTGGTTTAAAACGCTAATAAACACATGGGTCAACACTTACTTCATTTTAACAGAAATATATACAAGACAGTCTAAGATTGTGATGTTTGGTCTAAAAACTGTTCTAACAACAGATTTAATCAATGCTATATCAAATTATATTTTTGATCCAATAATTAAAGCATTTATCAGAGGATGAGTTTTGTCAAATAGAAAAAAAAATAATAAAAAAAATATTTATCAAATTTCAAACGTCAAGATGGTAGGAATGATAAAATACTGCTTCCATTGATCTTAAAAAACCAACAAAACAAAACATTTTCATATAAAAATATACATCACTGGCAATCCATTGATTTATAAAGGGAGAACCTATATACAGAATATACTATGTATGCAAGTCTCTACATTAAAGAAAACAATGCACTGAACACAGTTCAACCATGTGCGAATATCACAACACTGAGCACAAGCCCAATAAAGTTTGAGACTGTTAGGTATAGCTTGTACCTAAACACAGAACACAGGACCATTACAGGTGAAGGATGTTAGGTATAGCCTGTACCAAAACACAGAACACAGGACCATTAACGGTGAAGGATGTTAGGTATAACCTGTACCAAAACACAAAATCAATAAGGTTGGGGGTTCTTAAGTACATCCTGAACAAAAACACAAGACCAGTAAGGTTGGAGGTTGTTAGGTATAGTTCTTACCATGATACAGAACACAGGACCAATAAGTTGGAGGTTGTTAGGTACAGTTTGTACCATAATACAGAACACAGGACCAATAAGGTTGGAGGTTGTTAGGTACAGCTTGTACTATAATACAGAACACAGGACCAATTAGGTTGGAGGTTGTTAGGTACAATTTGTACCATGATACAGAACACATGACCAATAAGGTTGGAGGTTGTTAGGTACAGCTTGTACCATAATACAGAACACAGGACCAATAAGGTTGGAGGTTGTTAGGTACAGTTTGTACCATAATACAGAACACAGGACCAATAAGGTTGGAGGTTGTTAGGTACAGCTTGTACCATAATACAGAACACAGGACCAATAAGGTTGGAGGTTGTTAGGTACAGCTTGTACCATAATACAGAACACATGACCATTAAGGTTGGAGGTTATTAGGTACAGCTTGTACAATAATACAGAACACAAGACCAATTAGGTTGGAGGTTGTTAGGTACAGCTTGTACCATAATACAGAACACAGGACCAATTAGGTTGGAGGTTGTTAGGTACAGTTTGTACCATAATACAGAACACAGGACCAATTAGAATAAACCTGAGAGAGAACATTAGACCAGCAGCCTTATTTTAAGACATCAGAACAAATTACATACAAACAAAAAAGCATACAATTTATGCAGAAGATAGATATATCTACATTATGACATATTATTGGTGTTATACACTTAAGAAAGAAAATTAAGAGAGGACAAAAGAACATGATCACAATAACAATGGTAATATTTACATGAGTTAATTTGTTTGAGTATCACAAAAAGCTTACATTCTGACTATCAATAACATCCTAATGTTTGCAACTGTAATTCTAAAGTGAAAGTTGGAGATGGTACCCACTTACTCTCATTCTTAGTAAGTAGTATAATGTGTAGGAGATGGTGCCTGATTAGTCCTATCCTCACCATGTAGGATGACTTGTAGGAGATGGTGCGTGATTAGTCCTATCCTCACCATATAGGATGACTTGTAGGAGATGGTGCATGATTAGTCCTATCCTCACCATGTAGAATGACTTTTAGGAGATGGTGCGTGATAAGTCCTATCCTCACCATGTAGGATGACTTGTAGGAGATGGTGCGTGATTAGTCCTATCCTCACCATGTAGGATGACTTGTTGATGTTACCCAACTTATTACAGTTTCATTTTGTGTGCCGTGGCTTGTCCTTTCCTTAGAGTATTGCATATATCTGATGTTGGAAACAGCATGCAATGGAGTGAGTATAATCTGCAACAAACAACATTGAAGTTAAAAATTTCACCCAACATCACACAGGAAGTATTTCATTTGTGTTACCTCGCATTACACACATTGGCTGTAGATAATCAACTATTTAGGTAATACAATGAATAATGTTTTCTTCGCCATAAAATATTTTTCCTTAAAATGATAATTCAAACAAAATATCTAAACATGTTATGAAAATTGCAGTCTTGATTTTTCAGAAGGCTACCTTAGAATGTTGGCAAAAAGGTCTCCTAAACATAGGCAGTCTCTTGTTCAAGCAGATTAAAGTTTTATAATTTAAACTTGAGTAAACTGGGTCATACTTTTTTTTTTTTAATTCTTCAACATAACAGAAATTGATACAATGTTCATGTTTTACCTAAAAATAGTGTAAATCATTGACAAACAGATGATCTCCCTTTAACCAGCATTAATTTACCTGGAAGGATCCTGTGCAATGGAAAACCCATCAATTGTCACAACATTGTTATCCATGTAACTGAACGTCAACTGAAATAAAAAAAAAATCAAATGTCAAGGGAGAACACTCTTCAGTGTTGAAGAAGTTGATGACTTCCTAAATGAACAACATACCAGAGGCCCATCACAAGCTATCCAGAGTAATAAAGTTAAAAAGTCTTGCCCTTGAAGACAACTTCAACAGTAGATTGATCCCTTTCTCATATTCTTGGGAAACAGAAACCACTATTGGTAGAGAGCATCCAACCTTGCACATGGGGCTTCGCAGGCCAATATTCGATCTGAGTGAGCTATCATGGCCCTGAATATACCACCTCAGTATCAGGTATAACATATTTATTTACACAGTGCTCTCATAAACAATGTTAACCAGTTTCTTACCTGGTCCTGCAGATTGTGTATCCACAAGAGGGCCTCCAGGTGTGAGTGGAACCGGTCAATTACTGTCAGCTCCTTCTGTAGGAGGTTGTCTGTGGAATCATAGTATACAATGTCAACACTTAGTAACCTGTAATACTGTTGGTTTGTCTTCCCAACACCAGTTTATTGCTATCTTTACAAGTGCAACTCCCATGAATAGGTATGAGGAAGAGAGAAATTACAAAACCTTTGTTCTGACAGTTTCTGAATGTGTTTTGGTGTTAAATAACTAAGTGTTGGACTAAACAGAATGTCAATTCAATGATGTTACAATTACCATTGAAATGATATTGGTATCAGAATAGTCACCAAAAAGGCACTGAGCATTTCGAACAACACTCCCTAATTTGGATTTAAACAAATATTCTGAAGTTGGGGTCACTGGCTTAAAATGTGTCAAAGATCTATTTCTGTACTCAGTGTAATTTATATGATGGATGTTGATTAGTGTACAGACATTTTGTACATGTGTGATATATCTTATGAGGAGAAATACTGATATTTTGTTTCAATATTGTAATTTATGAAGTGTTATTGACATTTTTTATGAGCGACAGGTATTTTATGAGGAGTGAAACAGATTCTCTGTATCTAATGTATTTCATGAGTAAGTATTCAATATCTCATTTAAGTGTATGTTATTTCAGTATGTGTTAGGAACATTTTTGTGGGTGTAATGTGGTGAATGAATGTTATTACTATTTGTCAGAACTTTGTGCTTTAATAAGTATAGATTTTATTATTTCTTTTGTTATGGTTGTATTTTTTATGACTGTAACATATTTCATAAAGATTGTGAAAAATCATACAATGCATAAGGATTATGATACATACTGATGATGAATCCTACAGTACAGTCATCAGGCAGACGGATCATGTCAGAAGTCGTCATAAATCTACCTCCACTGAAAACCACAAACAAAAAATAATTTATATATAACAGTGTTTCCTTAAAGACCTTTTCCATGTTTCTTTTACATTAAAATTTTGATAGCATGATCTCTTCATTGAAAGTGTGGACAAGCTAATTATTACATCACGTATATACTTAGTCAGTCAACATTGTCATATGACTTGGACCTTCATCTGTTCTTAATGGAGAGATAGTTAATAGAAAAAATTTGGTTGACAAACTTATTCAGCTATATGCAGACAAGCTCAAAGACTGAGGATTGACACATTTATCGACAGAAGAAAAGACAGATGGTTTGTAATTTGCAGCATGTATCCTGTAATAAACCCAGTCACCATGAACTCATTATATTTACTCATTTTTAAGAGATTGACTTATAACATAGTGTTTCATGGCTGGGTATATTACCAGGCAGAGTCTTAATGCAGTAGACACACAGTACATGTCACCACCTGCAGATGCATAAAAGCAGGTCTACCAAGAATTTCATTATAGTTTATAACAAACCATACCTTGCATGAGGCATCATTTTCAGAGCGAGACTGCGACTAATGCAGAACCCAGCTCCACCAGTGGCAAACCAGAAGGCTATTTTCTGCTGTAGATGAAAAAAAAACATATTGGTAAGCTTATTTATTACCAACTCACAAGTTGAAATCTTAAAGCCATGTGATAGGTGTCACAGAGGTGGAGAAAGATTTAAAACATGAATTCTTGAATGACCAAAATTCTAGAGTTTCAATCTAAATACACTTCTTAAGTTATAACATCATAACAGATCATAAAAATGCAGATCAACTGCTTTGCTGACTTTTGTTCCTTGCAGATCAGAAAGAAGTTACATCCAAATCAAACTAGTCTATTCTGAAGTTGTGTTGTTATATGATTCCTTTTATCTGGCATCAAAGAGATCACAGGTTCATCACATTACAATAGTATGTTACACGACTAATGGCTTTGTAAGCAGGATGGCACACCTCAGTGTTCAATTGATATATATCAAGAGTGAAGAATTTGTATATCAAAACGTTTGATCTTGGGTTTCAAAGAAGCAATTTATGTAGATAAAACATCTGGATGTACAATTGTACCTCTGGGTTAGATCGCTTCACAACTTCTATAGGGTGTCGAAGACTTGGGCGACCCAAATACCAATCATCAGTATGGTTGTATGTCTGAAGTAGCTTCACTAGGCCAGGCACATTCAGGTAGGTGTCATCGTCGAGGTGACAAAACCATCTGTGACAAGGGAGATAATTCAGTACTAGAATGTATGATTGTAAAAGAATAATTCAGGATCAAGATGATATTAACATTTTTGGATGATCAGTGAGTCACCTATAGCATCTACTGAGCATCTGTCACAGGGACTGGTAACATTAGAATATACTGGTGCAGCTGATGATGATGTTACATTCAATATATACCTCATGCTTTTGAAAGTGCAGGCCTAATTATTTTTCTTCTACATTATTTGGACTCACCAAAACACTATTTCTTAAAACCATAGATAAAGATAAAGAAAAATTCCTTGGATTGGTAAGAGGCAAAATGGCAAAGTTTTTACAAAGACAAAGGTCTTGTGTTTTGTTACTGATTTTGTGTGACATATCAAACTAGTTTTTTGTGGATCTTATCAGAATTTTTCTGCTAACGCTTTTTATGCCTTAAGAGATCAGCAATTCAGTCAGTCATAGCGGTGAGGCATATACGATGCTGCAGGATTCTTGTTTCTATTTGCTCCCACTGATTAATAATTCAAAGATTGTGTCCAGAGAGAGGGTAAATATTGTGTGATACAGGTCTTATTGTGATCATTTCAGACACAAGTGATGTGTTTTTGAAGATATCACTAGCCAAGTGGTCTAGCAAACCATTTACACATACTGTCATATACTGCTTATATTGCCAATGTTTGTAAATTCTCCTGCTTTCACATTTAGCAAATAAATAACTGGTATTATTCCACAAATGCTTGTCTTTGCATCTTTGCTTCGGAATAATCATTTAAGAATATTAATGTTCTAGCTTGACAATCCATACTTGATTTTTTTTTTTTTTTTTTTGCAACTTAAACCTTTAATACTTCACTGACTAAATAAACCTAACACTTCTTTTATATGTTAAAGCAAAATGTTAATGGTAGAAAGTGTATGTACATTGTACAAATTTTTATCAATTTGGATATTTTTTAAGATCTCACCAACTAAATTCTTAAGATATACCGATATTTCATGACTGGCAACAACATTCCACAAATACACCATAACATATCTATTTTACAACAATTAAGAAATAAGCTATCACTTTTCATTTATCAATTGTATTGTCTAAATGTAAGGATGCAAGAGTTCTTTCTGAAAACCCATCGACAGGTGACTCAATACCTTTTCATCTCTTCTCAGGGAATCCAACCCCTGACATTTAGGTTATATACAAGTGCATTAGCCAATATATCACCCAGTCACTAACAGATTGAAGTAAATCTGACTGCTAATGTTTTTACATTTTCTGAGACACTGATCTTAACACACTGACTTCTGAGTAATGCGTGCCTCAGGTGGTCAACAGGACTGAATGAATACCATTATGTTAGCAGCTATCTTTTTATAAATCTTTCATATATTCCTTCGGAAAACAAACAAAGGGACAGTTTAAACAGTTTGACAAAAAACTCTTCTTTGATGATTTGGATATTTGGACATTTGTGGCAAAGGAAACTTTTTGATATACCCATTCTATAAGATGTCAGAATCTACGTCAAAACGAATCATCAAAGAAGATTTTTTTGTCAAACTGTTTAAACAGTCCCTAAAAACACACTGAAGATTTTGACGGGACACAATTGATAACGTTATTAACTCCCCTTTTATTATAACAATAACATTACGTCACAATGTAGGTTACTAAGTAACGTACAGTATACATGTAATGTAATCACCTGAAGATGGCTGCGAGGTCTGAAAACATTAGTGATATATTTGTTTGTCATGTTGAGTGATTAATTTTCTCTTTCTCTATATATATATATATATTTACCTTTTCCCTGAAAACATGAAGTAATCATACTCCACTGCCATCTTACAGCTTAGAGCTTTTCTGAAACATAATACCACAAATGTAGGTAAATAAGAGTTATCAATACCTGTATACAAGTAAACAAATAACATAAATAGTTTTTGATAGCAAGTATTGAAATTCATCAGTTTGTATAATATACAGAAACTTGCCATTTATGTTGAAAATATCTGTGGCAAGTTTCTGTATATTATACAAACTAATGAATTTCAATACTTGCTATCAAAAACTATTTATGTTATGACGAGACCTCGGCATTCGCTTCTGTAGTGAATATTGAAATATGTTAAATATTGCAGTAAATATGATAGCTTCTGAGTAATAATATGTACACATTATGGAGATCTAGGTCATTTCAATAAATACTTGTCCTCAGCTCTTTTACATTACGGTAAATTTACCAATACAGCTCTAGTTCTAGGTTTTATATGATTTTGATAATACCTAGAAATATTCAAATTTTTAAGTGTCTTGTTAGGACATCATCTTTTTGTACTGAATTTAATGGACCTGATTGTATTTCATTGAATTACTGATGTGTAACATGATAATAAAATGTTAATGTATTGTATTGTTTTGTATTGCACATACCTGGTAAACAACACATTTACAGTCAATTAACACAATACATTGAAAACATTAAGTAGGTAAACATGACAAAAACAAGATACAAGTAAACACAGCATAGGTAAATAACACAATACATGTAAACAACACAACAGATAAATAACAATATATATAAATAACAATATAGGGAAACACAAAACATGTATAGGAAATATTACATTACATGTACAGGTAAAAAACCACAATAATGGTAAACACAATGTAAGTAAATAACACAAAACAGGTAAATAACACAATTATCAATACCAGTACACAAGTTGGTAAGTAGCACTTACGAGCAGGTAATATTAACATAATAAAGACTACATCAAGTAATGGCTACAAAATTTGGTGGATTTAAGTAAAAGTTGTACAATTCTGCAGTTTGCTAGTTTAAGCTTCCCTCCAGATCTATGCCAGTGAGAAGAGTACATGTGCACTGTCCTGGGCATGACTACTTACCTGTAATGAGTGTTGGAACAGTTGGTGTTGATGAGATGTCCATCTGTAAACAAGCACAAATAAATGTTTAAATACACTAACGCATTTCTCAAGATTACATATATGGTGTCAATATACATCTTCATAAAAACAATGGAAACATTTGAAGTTTATACACAACATGTTTACATATGTTCATACAAATGAAAATACATTTCATTTCTATAAATCATGAAGGTAAATAAATCTTACGCTTTGAACATTTGAAACAATAATAAGTTAAACACAAATATTTTAAGTCATATGCATACAATTCTTATTTACATGATAAGTTCATATCAAATATATAGGAATGTTGGGTATTAAAAAACCCTTGTTATTATCATAAAGATTAAAAATTCATTTCAGAATATAACTGATCAACGCTGGTTTCTAGAGTAGAGAAGGAAGAGTATAGACAAGGATCCTGCTAAGACAGAAACAAGATTGGATATGTTACATAAGGAATATAAAGGCAAGGTATAAGGTATTTTTTGTCCGAGCCAGTTAACACAAGCATACAGATTGGACAGGGGCATGTTTAGGCAGGGTAGGGTATTCAAGGGTCATTATATACTGACCGGTGTACACAAGGATTTCGATAAGTCAAGGGTACGTGTAAGCAAGAAATACAAGAGGCCCAGGGACCTTAATAGTCATGTATCTCATTCTGAAGATCTATAAATGATACATTACATAACAGCAGCAGTATTAGTGGGTACAATTATTAAATGATTAAAACAGCTTGGAATTTGGAACATATTAATATCAACAGTCAAAAAAGGACTTTTTTTCAGATTCTCAATATCTCCACCAAATTTCAGCTCAAAGGCATCATTGAAACTTGAGAAGTTTAAAAGTCTTTCAAGAGGGTGGCCATCTTTGACTTCCAACCGACCCATTGAATCCCTCCCATAGAGAGGTAGTTAAATATAAATGAAAAGTCTTTGAAGACGGCACATTCAACAACAGAGGAAGCAAGACTGCTATTGAACATCTGGACCACAGTCAAATGACCAGAAATCAGGAAAGGGCATGTGCAACTCATAATGTAAAATTTTAACAAAATATGTTTACACATGTTATGATGTATAATGCATTCAGATAACTTGATTGGGATATCTGTTGTCTAATCTGAACTTTACACCAGGATTTATATTGGGTACATCAGAGTGTGCAAATATGTATACAAGAAGCTGACATTTTACTTATCTGTGCATTCTTTCAGTGGCGTTATCACTAAGACCTACTTAGGCCTGGGAGAATATAAATTTGTATCCCTAACACAAAACCCTGGTCTGTTTTAAGATCTTATCTGATGTCTGTATCAAATGACCATGACAACTTCACTAATGACTTTGATTACAGTACGGATCAGGTTACTATGTCACAAATACAAAAAACCTAATGAAATTGGAGACATTATTAAGTGTACACTATGATGTGAATTTGATAGGTCAATTCCCTGTATTTCTATATATGTTTCAGATCCTCACCAGGTAGACAACAAATCGATACTCATTTATTTCCCTAGACCAACAGACAAGACAAAATGTTTATAATTCTGGGCTGTTTTTTCATCATACACTTGTCATGAATATCAATAACAATAGCTGTCAAAGACAGGTGATGCTCCCAAAATGGGACAAAATTTAAGCATGAAAAATAACTCTGATAGTTTTAGTATAAGGCTCCAGACAAAATTGAAGTATCTCTTATAGTTTAAGTATAAGGCTCCAGACAAAATTGAAGTATGAAAAATCAAAAATGGTAATAACTCCTAAATTATGCAAAAGAGAATTATGGTTCTGGTGTACTGCAATTCTCCTTGTTGAAATTTATCTAGCAATGAAGTTTCATGTTAATACCTGTTATAGTTTTAGTGTAATGCTCCTGACAAATTTAAGTATGATGGATAACAAAGGGCAATAACTCTTAAATTATACAAAACAGAGTGATGGTTCTGGTGTACTGCACTTCTCCTTGCTGAGATTTATCTAGCTATAAAGTTCATGTTGATACCTCTTATAATTTTTGTGTTATGCTTCAGACAAAATTATGATGGACAGACAAAAAAATAGACAAACAGAGCGGCAACTAAGTGCTCTGTCGTTGGGAAGCTTAAAAAAGATGGTGTGAAATCGGGAAAGACAGCTTGTAGAAAAATAAAAAACACTTACTGAATGAGCATCACATGCATCTATTTCATGCATGTCCAAGTAAAGGTTTATGAAGCTGTGTTTATTGATAAAGGTTTAGAAATTGTAAGGGAGACAACATCAGTGTGAGTCACACTAAGGTTTCAGATGGAGAGTTGTTTCGTGCTTGAGCCTTAATTCATGCTTTAATACCTACCTGGAACATCCAACTTGTCATCTCCATCTGTAAAGATGTATGTCTACAACAGAAAAATAAAGACTATATATACATCTAACCAATATCAAGTATTTTGTAAGTTTTCAATATAAAATCTGTACTCGGATAAAAAGTTGGACCACTACCTCAGGTCAAACTATGCTACCTACTGCAAACTACTCAAAACTGCTATCTGCTCTGTGGCATATCCTTCCTGGTGTGTCACTCACAGGGCATTTAATTTGGTGCAAAACTTTGTTTTGTTATTCACAAGAAAAATTTAATATTGGTGATATGTCCTGTTTCTGTTTCTGATGTAGAACCTGAATTGAGCTTTAATTGACAAACCAACCTTTATATAAATGCAATGTATAGACTTAAGGCACAAATGTATGTTAACAAGGACATAGTTATCAAGATCCCCTGCCCATGTTCACTTGTAAAATATATACATTTAAAGTGAACAACACGGAAAACTAAATTATTGAAACCATTTCTTGTTATGTTCAGTTTAAAGTACTGTTAATATTAAAATCCGATTATCATAACTCTATGTTCATTCTTTTACCCAATGGTAAGGATAGAATATATGTCACTTAATTTTAGTGACGCTGGATCTATCAATGATTCTATTACCGCTCAAGGATGACAACACAGTCAATTGGTTTATACACATTAATAAAAATCCAATACAGCGTCTAAAATTCAGATATGTAAATGTTAAAGTTACTATCAGTAAATCAAATCATAACCAGTGAAAAGACCTATTGTTATCGTTGTTTTTAATTATTATACTTATTCTTCTTCCATGATTTTGTGGCATCTAAATTTCCAAATCGGTAAGAGATATGTTTATAGTCTTTTAAATGCCTTTTAAGACATGGTCCGTAGGTGTGCACTGATATTTTGATTGAAAAAAAAATTCAAATATGGCTGATATGACATCATATGTCAAAACTTTAAAACAGCCATAACTCAAACAGTACTTCTGTACAACTTTTCTGAAATGAAATCCTGGTAGACAATGTCCAAGGCCAAATATCATAATGGATATATATTACCTAGAAGATCAAATTAAAAAGCTCATTATAGGGTCAAAGGTCATAAATTTTTCAACTTTTTTTTTACTTTACAACGATTTTGTAAAATTCTTTTTGTAATCAACAGGGTATTCCATTCTTCAGTTTGTCTGTGATATTTACAATATACATGGTACCCAATTCTGAAAATTTGGAAAATGGACTGAGTTTTTATCTAAACTTTAAACAACTTCTTCCCAATAACCAAAATGGCCAAGCTATTGATATTTGGCCTGGACAATGTTAGTATGAAGGGCTTCAAAGTTTGTATCTATGGTTGACCTTGACTGACTTTAAAGGCCATAGTGGTCCAATGAAATTTTTTTTAAAAAAATGGATGGAGTTTGTTTAAGATTTCAAAACACTTCTAAATTACCAAAAGACCCAGGCTATTGGGCCAATAATCAAACTTGAACAAGGGGTTAAGGTAACAAGTCTACCAAGCAAGTCTATCATTATTCATTTTTTCCTTCAAAATATAACATGCGGAAAGCATTCAGTTAGAGTGACATTTGAAAATCCCCCGCCAACTTTGTTTGGTAGTAGGGTAAAAATCTTTCAGTATAATAGTTATATACAATATGAACCACGGGGTCGTTTCACGTCCATGTGACTTGACAGACTAAGTGAAGACTTGATAGCTTATATGTAAATAAAATATAACTTTTCCTTTACTGTTCATAAAGACATTAAATAAGACAATAAAAATTTCTTTCCCAATTATTCAATATGCTTCATGCATCATGAGATGTTTATAAAGATCACCCAACAGTCAGATATCTATAAAACACCACTCTAACTGACAATGTTGCATTTGTTGTGTTCAAAAAAAAAAAAAAGAACTTGCACAAAACAAGATAATGCAAAGTGTGACATTATCCCCCAAACCCTGCTGTTTAAAAGAAAGACACAATTTTAAATATAAGTTAATATAACAAAAATTTAATTTCTATTTGTTATCATTAATTGTTCAACACAAAGTATTGCAATGGAGAACTTATACAAGAGCACTAGCTTGATGCCTGTACAAAGTTTTGAATACCAGGTAATTATCTTGAACAGTTTAAGAGAAGTGATCTGAAAAACTGAACTTTATGATCTGTTTCCATGGTAACAAAAAATTATCGGTACATAGAAAACTTCCCTAGAGTAAAAGATTCTACTAGCTTTATAAGTGTAAAAAGTTTTGAGCAATTATCTTGAATGATTTCACAACACTGGTCCAGAAAAACTGAAATTTGTGATTAGGGTTATCTGTTTCTATGGTAACAATAAAAAATAACTATGGCACTAACCTAATATACTGCATACAGAAACTTTTGTGGAGTTAAATGGAATGGTTTCAGAAATGAAAGCTTACAGTAATTTTTTTTCTATGTTTCCATGGTAACTGATAAAATATAAAAAAATGAAATGTCCTCAATAGCAAAAGGCACAACTAGGGCACTAACCTTGAAGTTGAGTGGAATAGTTCTGAAGTTGTAGCCCGAAAAGGAAAGTTCACACTAATTTAGTGGGTTTTTTTGGCTATGCTTCCATGGTAACAAAACATTTTAAAAATGACAACTTTTCTACAGCAAAAGGCACAATAAGGGCAATATTCCTGCAATTACTTTCTCAAAGTACATGTAGATAAGTTCAACTCTGCAATTACCATTTCCTTTTTTCATCTGAGGAATTAATAGATTAGATTTGTGAAAAGATGACATCCTGTATCAAGTTGGTTTTGTTGTTTATTGATGCAGTTGGTAACATACACCATCATAAGATCCATTTAATTTCCTACTCACATATCAAGGGTTCAGGCATTTGATGTTCTTTGGGATTTGAAATAAAGTTGAAATATTTGATTAAGGTAGGAACTTCTAAGGCTGTACATAAAACTGCAAGAGAGAGCCTGCAGCATTAGGTAATAGTACACATGATTCCCTGTCACAGCAACATCAATGCCTTGTCTAATGACACATTTCTCCCTGGGAATGTCGTCTAGGGAACCACCTTGGCTGGAGGCTGGCTAGTAGGAGTACATGTGACCTTTCCTCTGAACCCCTGTACCAACATTATACCCGCTGGAGATTTACATCTGACCCCTGAACACTCCTACCATATATATTTTATCTTGTAAAAGTTATTTTTTAGGATGGTTCAAATTTTCACAGATTAACCAAAAGCTTGGAGCAACAAGGATGCATTTTTAATGGAAGTCATGAGATGGAAAACTATTTTCTCTATTCCATTTGCTTTCAAGGTAACTGTTTTTTGTGGTTTCAACCAATCCTTGATAACAGCTAAAAGAAAAACCACTCCAAAATCAAAATCTCTACAGTATATACATACACCTAGAGACTTTTTTGTATTTTGTATCCCACCCCTACCCCCAACAATGATAGCATATTGAACGTAACTCTGGAAAATGTAATTGTGTGTAAATTAACATGGGAAAAGTAACGTGTACACTGTATTCATTTTGTGAAAAACAGTCAAGAGTTGCTTGAAGATCAATCTAATGGCAAACCAACACAAGGGAATATGGAAGTGTTAACAGTTTTCCGTAGAGTAATCATATACCATCAATCCGACTTTGTGCTGACTGAATAAAATCTGCAAAGTAACTACTAATGGTAATCATTTTTGGGAATGAACAACTAACAGTTAGCTAGACAAGTATCAACTGTTGGGTTGATGAAGAGAAAAAAGCAAGGTGGAAAAATGAAGTTACCATTTCCACAGACAAACCCCCAGAGAATATTCACTCTCTGAACTCAATTTTGTCAGGGTTGATTTTAACTCTCCTAATTCATTATACACTCCCAATCCATTCGTAGGTGCTGCTGTCAACATATACAGCTTTATTTGCTAGAAGACATTCACAACTAGCTATGGTTAGTTTGATTTTCAGGACAGAAATATAATAGGAATTACCAGTTGTTTTCAGATTACTACTTCTGATACAATCTTTATTGATATCATATTGTTATAAATTTTTGAACAACCTTAGGGACCTGTTGTTGCATTTTTTACACAGCATTAAACACTATGGTGCTAGGAAGAAAAAATATATCAAATTGTTTTTTCTAAAATATTTTGCTTTCTAATACAATAACAGTAATACATATATAAATAATGTAATGAACACAAATAAAGTTTCATCTGTTGCTGACATTACATGTGACCTAACAAGATTGAGATGAAGCTGCTACTTATGACATCATAGGAATATTCATTGATCATATTTTGAGCTTGAAATAGTGTTTAGCATTTTGTGGATATTTTGAGCCATAAGAAGGATTAGATAAATAATTAGTTTTGTTGTTCATCTATTTTTCACAGGAAAGGATGTGACCTAACCTTAATGAATGAATACGATCTAAACCTGTTACTATCCCAGACTGAGATGTATATTATCAAAACTTGCAACTATCCCAGACTGAGATGTACACAGTCTAAACCTTTTACTATCCCAGACTGAGATGTACATGATCTAAACCTGTTACTATCCCAGACTGAGATGTATATTATCAAAACTTGCAACTATCCCAGACTGAGATGTACACAGTCTAAACCTTTTACTATCCCAGACTGAGATGTACACAGTCTAAACCTTTTACTATCCCAGACTGAGATGTACACAATCTAAACCTGTTACTATCCAAGACTGAGATGTGTTACTATCCCAGACTGAGATGTACATAATCTAAACCTGTTACTATCCCAGACTGAGATGTACACAATCTAAACCTGTTACTATCTCAGACTGAGATGTACATGATCTAAACCTGTTACTATCCCAGACTGAGATGTACATTATCAAAACTTGCAACTAAACCCAGACTGAGATGTACACAGTCTAAACCTTTTACTATCCCAGACTGAGATGTACATTATCAAAACTTGCAACTAAACCCAGACTGAGATGTACACAGTCTAAACCTTTTACTATCCCAGACGGAGATGTACACAATCT